GGCCGACTTGTCAGAGCAGGCGGTAGGTAGAAAGTATCCGGAATGTCAGAGCAGGTTCAGGGGTCCGAATGTTCTCTTAAAAATTTCTCAAGTGTGAAAATGACTGAATTCAACACACACTTATATAGGTAAAATGAGAAGGCGAAGGGTCACTCCCAAATTCGAAATTTGAGCGGGAAACCTCTCGGCCTTTCATCAAGTGACACCTGTAGCAGGCCTTCGCCTGTTACGGTGCGACACCTGTCACAGGTAACACGTGACCAGTCACGTGCCACCTTTGAGGGGCAAATGATTAGGGGATTTTTATCCACCAATCACCATGTGATACGTGGACCAACCAGGTTTTGCCACATGTCCTTCATGTAGGCCAATCGGAGCCTGCCACGTGTCAATTAAAGATACGTCCTCCATAGACCAATTGCAACGCGACACGTGTCCACCCATGCCAAATGGGAAAATCAGCCAACAAGGCCCAATCTTTGGGAAGCCCAGTCAACCTTAGGTTTAACCTAAACCTAGTATTGGCACACATCCCAAGGCACATAAATATGCTCATTAATCCTCATTAAGGGGGGATTACGCACATTTAACACTCTCACCTAGTGAGACTAAATTACATTTTCCGCATTAATTACTCCTTAATCAAGTACTAACTTGACCGTTGGAGGCGGATCTCCAACCATCCGGAGCATCCGTTTGTTTTGCAGGTACAGGCGTCCGGTTCAAGTCTCGAAATTGTAACTCTCCCACAGGACATCAGAAAACCCCGAAACAGCCGCGATCTTGGGAGTTGGGATTCAAGTTCTCGATCTAGGTACTAAATCAAAGAGGATCCTTGCCACTTATTCAAAATGTAGTAGGCTTGAAAGATATTAAAAACCTCACCTTTGGGAACAATGTGGGATCAATTACTACCTTTCGGGGTTCAAATTCCTTTGATATGGGCGACACCTTCTTACCACAATCCTAGACTTTAGGTCTCGTACATTCGGTAAGGTTATTCTCATACTAGCTTAAACTAGCCAGTTCTATGTTCAACCAAAGGCATCTAAACCATGCTCGAAATTTTATTACCTAAAGAAAGCAAATATCCATCACATGCAATCCAATATCATTCTTGAGGACTATTCTAAAAGCAAAAAGGTTTATATATATATATATATATATATATATATATATATATATTATATATATATATATATATATATTTACTAGAGGAAAAGGGAAGGAGGAGTTACCATTGATCTTGATGTAGTAGTATCTTTCATATATACAAGATGATAAAAGAATAGTGATTAGTAGCAAAGCAAATAAAGAATATCATGAGTGGATCATACATATAAGAGTCTAACAATCATTCCACAATTCATTGATAAACTATCACTTGCAAAACTAAGACAATTATATCACATGCACACTTGAATTCATTTTACCATCAAAGATACTAATCAAATCACTAAGACAAACGACTACAAGCAAAAACAATATATACAAAGCCTATTCTAAAAAAACACAAATTTTTTTTATAAATAGGAGGGGAGAAGAGAAACTAACTAAAGAATTTGGATGAAGGGCTTTGGATTTTTGGGGTTTGGGAAAGAGAGGAGGCTCATCAACAAACATCATCATCAATGGGAAGCACATCAACCAAGCCAAGTTCATTAAAATGCAAACATTCAACCATTAATTAACCAACCAAGATAAGCGAAGAATAATCAAATTAAGCACAAAACTAACAACACCGAATCCCAACTCTATACAAGGCCTAAATGCTCCCCCAAGCTAGACATTTAATTACCGTTTCATGAAAGAAAATAGGCAGTGACAAAACCTCCCCCAAGCTTGGGATTGGCACCGTCCTCGGTATCCCAAGGGTCTAAAGGGGCGATGAAACGGTAAGTAAAATGTCTAGATCAACTAGTCATGCCGGCGCCCCGGTGAATAATGAAAGTTGTAGTTAATATCTACATCACTAGGGGTAGTCGAGGCATCTACATAAGGAGGTAGATCGTAGTTGGGACAAGTACAGTAGTGGCCAAAATCCGGCACACCTCGCTCACCCCAACCACCATCATAACTGGGTGGGAACCCGTAATACCCCCTTAGGTGGGGATCAAGTACCTCAGCAGATGAACTATCACTACCAACCTCGGGGACGTAGTAATAACTAGGGTCACCCCTATAATCACTACCCCCGGGATGTGTATAGCCATAAGGGGGATAGGAGCGAAGCTCCCCAATCGAACTACGCGGGCCTTGCCAAAAAGGGTAGGTGGGTTGGCCATTAGACCAACCTGAAACCGACCCTTGTTGAACGGGACGGTTGGGATAGTTGAGGTAAGGGAGAAAGTCTCCCCTCTCAACTTGATGTTGATAGTTTCTTTCCGCTACAAAACTTTGATATTCATTATGTTCTAAAATTCTTTGGTTGGTTAAATTTAATTGGTTGAAAGCGTTTTCGACATCAAAGAGGGAAGAGGAGGAGGAGGAACTATCTATCCTAGATCGGGGAATGGAGGATTTACTCATACGACGGGGTATAGGTGCATCCTCGTCATCGTCGGCCATAGCTCGTGGGGGTGGATCACGTGGCACATGCCACGTGTCCCCCACGGAGTTAGTGACCGCCGCATTAGGGAGCGTGCAATAATGCCTCCCATTGACCTTCCAGCTAAAGCGACGAACCCGACCCGGAATTTCAACAAGGAACTTCATATCATAAAGTCCCTTGATATCAAGCAAGTTCGAACCATGGACCGGGGTCATTTGGTCTAGAAAAGCACCAAATCCCAATTTCCTCACTATAATTGAAATCATCCCCCCACATCTAATCTCACCACTCATATCTTCATTTACCCTCATTTCCATGCATCTCTTAATGAACATATATCCCATGTTCACGTTCCCTTCCACATTTCCTTCGAATCTTGTAGCTATGAAGAGGCATTTAATCTCTTCTTTTGTTAGTTTCCCTAAGTCTTGCTTAGAGAAACAAGCATAGCTCATGAGTCTCATGAAGAGTCGAAGGACGGGGTGGATAATGTGGCTAGCATGGCTAGACCGGGTCGTGAAGTTGGGATAACCCGCAATGGCGTTCCACCAAACTTGCTCCTCATAGCTTGAGAAGTAAGTACCATTGGGGTCGTAAATTTGGTTAAGGGTGGGCCATTCAAAAATTTTGTTCAATCTCGTTAAGGTTAGGATCTTTTCGACATTGAACATCCTAAACTTTATCTCACATTCTAATGGCTCACCCTCTAGGTTTATGCGCTTCATACTGACCGATGAAAGAAATTCAAGAGTTAGGGAAGCATAAGTTTCTTCCGTATTCCTTAAGAAGTTTAGCCAACCAAAGTTGTCAGCTACTCTTCTTATTCCTTCATCGACCCCTAATATTTGCATAGATTCTTGATGATAGAAACGGGTTGGGATAATTTTTCGTTTGGAGAGGTCATTGAAAGCCTTCTTATATCGGTCATGGACTTTAAGTGTTGGTGGGGGGTTAGGATTTTCTTGTTGCGAAGGAGTTGGGGATGGTTGAGGTTCACTTGTCTTTCTCTTCTTACTTCCTCCAAATAACTTCTTCATTTTTTATTTAGGGAAGGTTATTTAAGAAAATCACTCAACAACAAACAACAACACCACACACACCCTTAACTTCAAACCCCCTTTAAAATCCAAGTACCTGTTTCACAATATATATAACAACACAACCAAACAGAGTATCCCAACACACAATTTTTTCAAACACAATTTACTCCAATTTCACACAATTCACATTCCCAAATTCACCAAGTTTGTGCAATTTTCAATCACAAGTTCAACTACTCCAAAAAGTCATTCATAAATTTGCCACAAACAATTCTAATTAAGCAACAATAATTGTTAAAATTTCAATTAATCATGCAACTAACTACACAATTTATATGAAATTAACAAAATTAAGAAAATTGAAGAAGAACCCTAAGGTTCAAGAGGGAAAGTGAAGTAAAGAAGAAGATTATACCAAATAGAGTATGAAATACTCTACATTCTTCCAAGACTACTCAGATTTTGCTACTCCTTCAAGCTTTCACCGTTTTCCCCTTGTTCTTCAATGGAGAATTTGTGGGCTTTTGAATTTTTGCTCAATTTTGTGAAAATTTGTGATTTTTAGAGAGAGAATTGGATGGAGATTATGAATTTGTGAATTTTGAGTGAAAAAATTGGAGGATTGATGATGATTTTGAAGAGAGAAGGTAAAAGAAGTGAGGGTTTTAGAGTGAGAAAGAGATGGTAAAAGAGGAGAGAGAGTGTGAAAATGGTGAAATGAGGGGTAGAAAGTGAAAGAAGATTAAAAGAGATAAAAGGAAATCTCTTATTTTTTATCCGGACCCCTTAGGAGCGGGCGTGCAGGGTGAGAGGAGCGCCCGCTCCGGATTCTGAAATTGCTCACTGATTTAGTATTGAAGATAGGAGCGGGCGTGCAAGGGTTTAGGAGTGCCCGCTCCTAACTAAATTTCAGTTTCTGATTTGCTTTCTCAGTTGATGGAGCGGGCGTGTTGTGGTATAGGAGCACCCGCTCCTTCCTGATCTAGAGTTTCTGCCTTAGATGTTGTAGATAGGAGCGGGCACGCACTCAGTCTGGAGCGCCCTCTCCTATCTGTTGTTGTTGGTACAATTTTTGCTGTTTCAACTAGGAGCGGGCGTGGTAGGGTCTAGGAGCGCCCGCACCTTTTTGAGTTAGTGATTCTGTTTTTATTGTTCAGTGGTGGAGCGGGCATGCACCACATTTGGAGCACCCGCTCTTCACTGCTTTTCCAAATCTCTTGCTTTGTCTTCACTTGAGCAAATTATCCTAGTTCAAAAACAAAACATAAACAAACACTCAAATTCGTCAAGTGTTAGTTCAAGATCTTTCATTTTTTTCATTTTTTTTTTCATTAAGCAACAATACTCGGGTTGCCTCCCGGAAGCGCTTCTTTAACATCACTAGCTTGACGACATTGCGCTATCCAAAATTAGGGAGGGTCAAGCCACACCTTTTTGACCCACCTCATTGTTTCCACACACTTGCCATTCTCCTTAGGCAAGATAATGACATTTCTATCATCATTAGAAATGCAACCAAACAACTTGTCCATTAACTTGATCTTGTTTTTCTTTTTCTTCTTGGCCCTCTCTTGCTTTTTCACCTCCGGAGCATGAATCAATTCATCTTGTGACTCCTGCATGTCTTCCTTCAAAATATTAACCAAAACATCAACCCTATGAACTTGTTTAACCATAGGGTCATTCAACGTTTCCGGAAATGAGAAAGAGATTATTTCATCCCCAACATGTAAGGTAAGCCGCCCTTGTTTCATATCAATATTAACACCCGCGGTTTTCAAAAATGGCCTACCTAATATGAAAGTAATTTTGAAATCCTCATCCATCTCCATGATTACAAAATCACAAGGCACAAGAACCTTCCCCACTTGAATTGGGATGTCCTTCAAGACTCCCAATGGGACTCTAACCGAGCGTTCGGCTAGTTGGATTGACATTTTGGTGGGGCTAATCTCCCCAAGATTTAATCTTTTTGCCATAGAGTGAGGCATAAGGCTAACACTAGCCCCAAGATCACACAAAGAATTTGTTGATTCAAGATCCCCAACCTTCATCGGTATAGCAAAACTACCGGGGTCACCAGAATTCTCGGGAAGCTCATTTTGAGGGATAACACTTATCTCCGTTAGAATGGAGATAGAATCACTCTCCTCAAGCCTACTCTTGTTAGAAAGAATATGTTTCAAGAACTTTGCATATGTAGGCATTTGTGACAAAGCATGAAGAAGTGGAATGTTTGGTTGAAGTCCTTTCATTTCATCAAGGAACTTGGAAAGTTTCTCAGTTAGCTTCTTCTCTATCATTCTATGAGGGAATGGAATACAAGGCTCATGCTCTAAATGGAGCTTGACTCTTCACTTCTCCCTCATCTCTCTTTGAGGCACCCTCATCACTCATTTTTAACCTTCCTCTCGCCTCCTCACTCACTTCATTTTCAAACTCACTTTCATCTACCCAACTATCTCCCTCATCTCCCTTTTTGGCAACATTTTCTCTCATAATTGGAGTTTCATACCCCCCTTCCATAATCAAGGTGATTGATTTATCTTGCTCTTTTGGATTCATTACTGTTGTGCATGGAAATTGACCACCGGGGTTAGAGGTGCACCTAACTTGTTGCGCAATTTGAGATAATTGACTTTCAATCATCTTGTTGTGTGCTTGGAGTTGTTGAATAGAGCTACTAACTTCCCCATTGATCTTGATTTGTTGGGTCATGAAGGTTTCCAAAACGGATTCAATGTTGGATTTTGGAGGAGGAGGGGCTTGATTGTATTGGGGTCTTTGTTGGACATTGTCTCTTTGATTGGGGTGGCAATAGGGTGCTTGTTGTTATGGAGGGGGTTGATTGTAAGGAGGAGCTTGGTTGTAATTTTTTTGAGGAGGGGGAGCTTGATAATTTGGATGTTGTTTCCAACCTTGGTTAAAAGTTTGGGAGTAAGGATCATTCCTACCAAGTGAAGCCACATGCTCCGTTGTAGTGTTGCCATAGGATGCCAAGTGGTCGTTTCCTCCACAAGTCTCACAAGACATGACTTGTGGGGAGGAGCTACCGGGCACATTGTTCACTTGATCTAGCTTTCGAGCTAACATATCAACCTTTGAAGCAATAAGATCGATTGCTTCAAGATCATGCTTACCGCCTTTCTTGGGTTGACCTTGCCTTTTATCACCCCCATAAGCATAATGCTTGGCCACTTCCTCAATCATTTTGTAGGCTTCGTCAACCGATAGCTTTTTAAGGCTACCTCCGGCTCCCGAATCAAGGTTGGCCCTTGAGGTAGGAGTAAGACCATCATAGAAGCTTTGCACTATGATCCATGAGGTGAAACCGTGGTGAGGGCATGCTCTAGTGTAATCTTTGAACCACTCCCATGCTTCACTCAAAGTTTCATCAACCTCTTGTTTGAAGTTTGTGATCTTCCGTCTTAGTTCGGCGGTTTTCTCGGGAGGGAAATACTTCCCAAGAAAAGCTCTAGTCACTTCATCCCAAGTACTCAACGATCCCTCTTCAACCGTTCTCAACCAATGCTTTGCTTTGTCTCGAAGGGAGAATTGAAACATGTGCATCCGAATAAACTCTTCCGAAATGTTGATTTGCTTGATAGTTGTACACAACTCAAGAAAGTTGTCCAAATGAGCAAAAGGACACTCATAAGGACTACCCCCAAATTGATCGCTTTAAATCATGCGGATGAGTTGAGGTGAAAGCTCAAAGTTGTTTGCATTTGTGGTGGGGAGACGTATGCCCCTCCGAAGTTGGAATGCGTTGGGGTGGTGATGCGTTTCTTGGTTCGTTTGGTCTTAGTTTTAAACAAGCTTCACTCGTTTGTTTTCGCCTAAGGGTTCTAAATCTGATTTCAAGGCTTCACTCACCTTAATCTCGTGATTTAGGGGTTTTTTTAGGATAGTTTGAATTAGCTTCACTCACTAATTAATCTAACCTCTCTTAAATCAGGTTTCACTCGCCTAATCTAAGGGTTTTTATGTTTAACTTCACTCGTCAAACACAAAGAAAACTTGGAAAGAAACGTTCCAAATTAACAAGCAATAAAGCTTTAATCAACAAAACAAACTTGTATAATTCGAAATTTACAACCTTTATTTATAGAATCAAAACTAATCCTAAACCTAATCAAATTATAAGACTAATCCTAATTGAATTAGAATCCCATTTGACCTAGAAAACCTAAGAAAACCGAAACTTGATCCCCAAGTTCCTAATTCGGATATGACTAAACTAACTAAGTTTAATTCAACTTAGATTAGGTTATTCAATCCTCTTAAAACTCCTAGACACGCCTAAAAACCAAAGTCAAGTCCTAATACACTTAGGAACTTACTTTGCTAAAAACAAGTCCTAATTCAAATAGGAACTCTCTTTTGCTAAAGACAAGTCCTAATTCAAATAGGAACTCACTAGACCAAAACAATTCCTAATCAAAATAGAAATCCTAATGCTTAAAACAAGAAAAACCCTTTCAAGTGAAAGGTAAAAACTTGTAAGCCAAAATCTAATCTAAGAAACATTAAAGAAACGGACCAAGAAAGGAAACCTTGAATGCTCCCGCATCATACTCCTCCTCTTGAAAACGAACTTGTCCTCAAGTGACATCATAACAAGGAACGAGATCATTTGCGCTAAGAGAAGCACAAACGGCTTCACCAAGTAGCACTTGAAATGTATCATAATTCTCCCTATGCACGATTTTAAAAGGCCCTTCATCAAAGGATTCATGATTGTCTTTGCGGTTGTTGTATAACTTCTGTGCACTCAAAGAAAGCCACACATAGTCACCTATCTCAAATGGAGACTTACGAACAAGTTGAAGCACTCTATCTTGCTGCTTGTCTTTCTTCTTCCTTTTTCTTGAACCACCTTTATGACATGTAGAAAGAGAAATAACCTTGTTGCCATCATGTTTCATAGGTTCAAATTTAGGAGGCAAAGGTTTTAATCCAATCCTTTTCCCTTTTGTAGAACCGAAACCACATTCTTCTTTGCAAGGTAGATCACATCACGATCAAATTGCCAAGGACGACCTAGAAACAAAGCACATGCATCCATAGGAACAACATCACACCATACTTTGTCTTCAAACTCACTAATTGTAAAAGAAACCAATGCTTGTTTCGAAACATGTACTCCTCCAACATTTGTGAGCCAATTAAGCTTGTATGGATTAGGATGGTTTCTAGTCTCAAGCTGCAACGTATCCGTCATCTTCTTAGAGCATGCATTAGTACAAGAACCATTATCCACAATAACTGAACAACTACGCCCATTCACTAAGCATCTAGTGTGAAACAAGTTCTCCCTTTGTGCCATATCAGTCAAAGGAGTAGATTGAGCATGGAGAAGCTTTCTCAAAACGAGTGTGTTGTGATCCGGGGCTGCCTCACACAATGGTTGCTCTTCACACTCTTCCTCAAAGTCATATTCATTCTCCTCTTCTTCACGTTGCTCTTTTAGAAGTAAAGCGGTTTTAGCATCCTCCTCTTCTAAGGCTTGGTATCTTGTTAATGTCATGACCCTTCTATTAGGACACTCGGACTTGTAGTGACCTCTACCTTGACACTTGAAACACTTGATCTCCTCTTCAAGACTCTTCCTATGATGCATGAACGTAATGTGTCGTTCCATCAAAACAGTCATCTGTTCAAGCAAGTGAGTGACCGTTGATTTATTCTCCATGTTTGCGCACAATCAGTAATTTTCCCTCGAACGTTTGTTGCTGTAGATTTTGCGTCACTTATCCAATGACCACGAAATTTTACAGGCTATAATTTTAGTCCAATAGGAATCCAATCCAAAACGAATCACCGAAAAAAAACTAATAGAAAATTCGCAGTAATTAAAAACTTTCGGTCGTTCCAGAAATTTCGTCCAGAAACAAAACGACCAAAGTTTGAAGCTCCCTAGGACTCGTTACTTGATCAAACGCATTGAAACTTTATAGGAAAAAACTCTAAAGATATTATAACACAATAGAAGTGGAATCACCAAAAAATACCAAGTAGATAATTCGCAGTAACCTAAAACTTCCAATTGGTCCAGATCTGCGCCGAGAAGAACAAGAACCAAGAAACTAGCTTGAATTGATTCTTGATTACTCAAGAACAAGGATATAACGACTCAATAATCACACCAACAGCTCTGATACCATATGATGCGTTTCTTGATTCGTTTGGTCTTAGGTTTAAACAAGCTTCACTCGTTTGTTTTCGCCTAAGGGTTCTAAATCTGATTTCAAGGCTTCACTCACCTTAATCTCGTGATTTAGGGGTTTTTTTAGGATAGTTTGAATTAGCTTCACTCACTAATTAATCTAACCTCTCTTAAATCAGGTTTCACTCGCCTAATCTAAGGATTTTTATGTTTAACTTCACTCGTCAAACACAAAGAAAACTTGGAAAGAAACATTCCAAATTAACAAGCAATAAAGCTTTAATCAACAAAACAAACTTGTATAATTCGAAGTTTACAACCTTTATTTATAGACTCAAAACTAATCCTAAACCTAATCAAATTAGAAGACTAATCCTAATTGAATTAGAATCCCATTTGACCTAGAAAACCTAAGAAAACCGAAACTTGATCCCCAAGTTCCTAATTCGGATATGACTAAACTAACTAAGTTTAATTCAACTTAGATTAGGTTATTCAATCCTCCTAAAACTCCTAGACACGCCTAAAAACCAAAGTCAAGTCCTAATACACTTAGGAACTTACTTTGCTAAAAACAAGTCCTAATTCAAATAGGAACTCTCTTTTGCTAAAGACAAGTCCTAATTCAAATAGGAACTCACTAGACCAAAACAATTCCTAATCAAAATAGAAATCCTAATGCTTAAAACAAGAAAAACCCTTTCAAGTGAAAGGTAAAAACTTGTAAGCCAAAATCTAATCTAAGAAACATTAAAGAAACGGACCAAGAAAGGAAACCTTGAATGCTCCCGCATCAGGTGGTCATAGTCTCGTAGCAAAGGTTGTGAAGGAGGATTCTCTCCCATGTTATCTTCTTGGTAGGTTTCAAAGACCTCTTCCGGATCGGAATCCGAATATACAATGGAGAACTCGGGTGTGCCTTGTAAAAGTCTCCTCACGTTCCTCAAGGTCTTGTTCAACTCTAGATCAACGGGAATAAGCGGTGATTGCTTACTCTTTCGTGTCATACAAAGTCAAACAAAGCTAAGAAAAACGTTAGCAATGACTATCACAAGTTAAACATACATAAACAAAAATTAAGGTAAGGAAACGACTATACATATACACACATTTAGTCTCATTCAACAATAATAC